CGCCAAGCCATGGACTTCAGTTTTAGGTGTGAACATAACTTATTTAAATTGCTCAAGTTATATGCTGTCCGTTCTACCGGTGGTTGGGTGTTGGAGGATGTTGGAAGTGTGACTTATCTTATCTTGCATTTATCCTTGGACCTTTCCTGATACTTCCTTATTATTCTAAATTCGAAAAAATCTCCCATCCAACATTCGATATCATGAACATCTGGAACAAGACAGTAAAAATAGAGGCAACTGCTGAAAGTTGGAGCGAACGAATTGCCTGACCGTAGAGAGCGTAGTGTCGCATCCTGAATTCAATAATGACAAATGCGGTTGGCTTACTATATGCAACGACAACCATGACCTGACCCCTGAGGTATGAGGAAAACAGCTACCTAGACTAGCTTCTGTGATAGATCTTGGCATCAGGCATTCCAGAGACTTGACATTCTCGGAACAAACGGCATATATCAGATCCAAGCCACGCAAACCCTTGGGAGGTATCATTCGTAACCTGTATAGCACTGAATCACGGATGATACTCTATAAAAAGTGCATTCGCCCACTTTTAGAATATCGCCCACTTATTCTCAGTGGCCTCCGTAGAAGTGATAAACTGAAAGTCGAAGTGGTACAACGTTATTCTACCTTCAGAACATTAGGAACTGACTCTAATCTAGACTGCACGTCCAGATGTGACATGTTGGGGTTAGAAGCACTCTGGAAGAGGAGACTTAAACTGGACCCCATATTTTGTCATCAGCTACTTAATCAGTACTCGCACTCCCATGGTCCGCAAATCAAGCTAATTGTAACGTCTACATACGATATGCACAGCCACAAAGTATTGGCTGAAACTGAGTGTTGTACGACGAGGTTGCGAGAAAATTTCTTCCTCAACAAATTCTCACACATTTGGAATAGGCTTCCAGAAGAAACTCGTACAGCAAGCTCGTTGACACTTTCCCGCTTCTCACTTACTAGGCCACTAATAAACGACAAGTTTATCTCCCAATTAGCCACCATCTATGCATTCTGGGCTGATGAGGATAGACCTGGACCTCTAAATGTACGAAATACAGCTATTATGGCCCTCAAGTTCCTCCTGCACCTACGGATTGACAATTGCTTACTAGGGTGTGAGTACTCGTTCCCCTCCCCACTACAATGAACTTAATGCACACTGGTCCCCTCTAAAATCTACTACGATGCACCCCAGACAGAAAAGTTTTAAGAATCTTATAATAGAGAGACTATGTGGTTAATCACACATGCACACATGAGAATGTATATAAAGTTCGGATGGGTCTAAAAGTATAGGAACTTCTCTCTTTTTCAAGCCGGTCTGCGTCGTAATCCCCTTTCACACACCTGCTCGTGCTTCTTCTTTCTTTTTTTTTTACAGCAACAGCTCGATGACGAAATTCGATGCTGGATTTCAATCTGGACATATCTACTAAGTGGAAATAATACCTGCTGTTTGACTCTATGGATTATTGGACTACTCTCAATCTTTCGCAGTTTCTGGAACATCTTCACAATCAGCTCATCAGCTGGTCAGGACTCTTCTTGCGACGAACCGTCTAAGTTTCCCAAAAGCCATAGTGGGACAAGTATTCTGAAAAACTGATCGAACGAGAAACTAATATGCCTATTGGCTCGGAACACGACTTGCCTGCAGTAATTCCACACTACATGTTCTATAGTGCCCTGTGTCAAGTGATCTTTTCAAGTAAAAGTTACCATGCATCAAATACACTTCTCGAATGATGCTGCTTACGCTAATATGAACGATGCCTGAAGTCCATATATAACTGCTGCCGTTTGGACTATTAACCATCTCAACGTCTACTTCCATCTACCACTAGAAGTACTGCCAGTGAAATTAATGTACACTACCTTTAAACCACAAGGTTAGCTGGAAATGCATGGATTTAGGCACTCACCTTGGTTATATAACTGGATACTTACTGATACTCCAGATCGTATAAATAGGTCCTTCGTGGTTAGCAGAGCTATAAACTGAAGAACGTTCCAGTGAATAAACGTTTATATTACCAAATAAGAAACTATGCAAATGGAATAACAACGTCGTTTGGTTATAACGCAAACCTGGAATATTGCGCGCTTTTATCGTTGGTGGTGGGACCTATCTGTGCAAGGACGGATGGAAATCAACACCCGTCTTTTGATTTGCAGCAAGTTTTAATGAGGTTATACACACCAATAACTTCCTGAGTGAGTTATATAATTCCAGCTACTATTGTGTAAACCTTCAAAATCATCATTTTGACAGTGCTTGTGAACTGGCATTTGTCATGTTAAATACATTATAGGGGAATGGGAATTTTTATCATCGTTACTTCGACGCACTGCATATGCCGAAAGTGGCATTTTCTCATTACGGTAGGCGCGATTTGGTGTTTTTGATGCAGTTAAACGACCTCCTCTCTCTACCATTCAGGATCCATAGAATCCTGTAGATTTTTCAACACAACAATGTGATGACGCCCGTGAACTGGCTTCCCTCATATTAATTATTAAAGTGAGAATAAAAATTAGTATATATATATGTATACATATAAATATAAGAGATGTGAGAAAGACTATTAAAAAACGTGAAAAGGAACAAGCATTAAAAAAATTCTCAGAAAAAATTAAAGCCGAGAGGGGAGTGAAATGAAACGAAGACTCGAAAGTAGAGCGAACTGGAAACAACGGAAACAAAAAAGACACACACTCCACAGCAAATGATGAGAAACGTACGCAATCAAAAAAATAGTTCCTCATAGAAAAATACAGGAGACTCACGAAGATGATGACGAGGTTGATGAGAAGGAGGATGTGCCTCAGGTAAGTTATGTTATTCTGCACTCACGCTGAATTCACTCTAGGAGCACCAGTCGATTGACATTGACTTCTCATTCGTTGATGAATTTGGAAACCGTAGAAGAGGAGGTGGCAGAGGATTTGACGGCAGAGGGTCTGATCGTGGACGTCGTGGTGTATGGCCAAGAGGCGAACGTGGAGGCCGCGGAAGAGGTCAACTGAGGGGTGACGGGCGAGGCCGTGGTTTTGGTCGCGTTCTACCCTCTGAGGATCACATTCCACCGCCGGCAATATACAGTGACCAGGAGTTCCCTTCCTTGAAGTAATTTCCGAAAAGCAGGCGAAGTAAACCTTTGGACTAAGAAGATTCTCCTTTCTCAACTTTTGGTTCCCTGAAGGCTTGTAGTCCTGGCCTTTGCTTATCCATACCCATTCCTCCCCCATCCTTTAATCTCCAGCTTTGTAATCTAGTTTCATCCGAAAGCAGTTCCAGGACTGAATTTGTAATTATGGCTGTGCTGCTTCAGATGTGATTGCAAAGCTTTGTACATGAATGTTCTGACCATGTCACAGTTTTGCGATTGACATGACCAATCGCCTTCAATAAACCTTGACGAGAGTACTCTTTTCAGCTTCTAAAAGAGGTGGGTTCCTGCCGTATTCTGTCCATGGGTTGCTTTGATTTTAGTCTAGACGCTAGATGAACACTTTGGTATCTGGTCTCAAACACCGATAAGGAGCGCTTGGTCTACTGTCGAGTCAGTGGAGACGCGTGAGTTCTGTGCCCCACCTCGGCTGATCGGAGCGTGTTTCTGTCTTGGTCGGACGGCCATTGCAGTTGTAGGTTGCTTTGAGATTCTAGTGGGATTCCATGGGAGTGCTTTTTCCGTGTGGCACACTTGCTTACCGCTGTCACCAGGTGGATTTCAGACATGAGATTCATGTGCATGTGGAGGGATGATGGTGGAGTTGTGTGCTAGCAACCTTAGGAGCAGTCGTTTTGAACAGGTTTGCCAGCTGGTAGGGAATGTGACAATGGGATACATGGACTGTGCTGCTTTCCCATGTCACACCATTTGAGTGAGTCGCGTGGTGTCGGTGTCACCTCACCGTTATTGTGTTCGTATTCAGTCATCTCCAGCCTCAACGGAGTTGAATAATGAGTTGGCAGGCTCGGGATGACTGGCTTGTCGTCACTTCAATTATCGTGATCGCTAATCTGTCCGTGGCTTACTTCCTGTAAGCTGGGCTGCATGTTGTTTCGGTCTTACCCCTGCTTACCCAAAAAGCTGTTGCAACGGTTAAGGACAGTCTTCTTGTTAGTTATCCTCTGACGTGCTAGTCTTGTGACTAGGTGTTCGATGCCTAGCCACGTACTGCACTAACACCGGCGACGTGACTATTCCCTCGTGGTCTTGCGCTCTCACCATCCGATGTTGTGAGGTCTGAGACTTCAAATCCCAGGAATGGTGGCTGGACCACGTGTCCTTGGTTCTCTCGTGTAACTATCCCGGCTAACTGAATCTGTCCTGGGTTTGTTGGGTGTTGTTTGTCTCCGATAAGTACTTGACACCTGTCTACATCCTCATCAACAAGTCCATCTCTATCTGGGATTCACCGTCCAGTGGCCTGGTCACCATCCCTGGAGCTAGGTTACGAGGGGGCTGGTCTCACGGTTAGATCGATCATGCTGTAATCAGGTAGGTGGTGGTTTCCTGAGCCTTGACTTCGACGAGTTCCTTTGCACCGTTCAAAAAGTGGTTTGAAGGGATTCATTCTTACTAACGAGAAAAATCCTACCCTTCTTGATCTGCCATCGACATCTAGGGAATGTAAGTAAGGAGACGACGATCAGGCCCATGATCATTTTCTTCCTCTGCCACTCCTGTACCATAACATCGAGATGCAACTGCATCAGAATGCCATGTGAGGCATTTGCCCGACCTGTGAACTACCACTCATTGATCATTGAACCGTGGGAATGCAACTGCCAGACTATTCCAGCTAAATTCACTTATCAATCAACATGGTTTATGAAGTTCACTGACAGAATTTCTGGGTATTTGTCAACCATTTGATTAGTCGTGGTCAATGGTTGTTGTGTTTTGCTGAACAGGTATATTCCATTTCCGTTGCGCTGCGATGATCATGTTGAATGCTTTCAAACAGTGTGTTGTGTAGTCATGGCTGGTGTTGACCACGCCTACCAGTATTCCGTGGAGGTGAAGAGCAGGTTCTCACTGTTTCTGGACGATGCGCTGAGTAGTGAGGATCCAGACATTCTGCTATCTAAGTTGCAAACCAAACGGACTGAGAAGACCAAGAAGGAGAAGTCTCACGTGCAGCAGCAACAACAACAGCAGGCCACACCTGTGAAAGTCGACACAGTAATCAAGAATGAGACGAAAGTTGATTCAGCAGTGCCGAAAGGTAGGTGGGAATAAAATCTCTAACCAATTCAGCTGCACCTCAACCGTCCAAGTCCCCTGGCTCCACAGAGATACCCCGAGTGCCCCCAGAGGACATGCAGAACTATGCTGCTAAGGAGGCAGAGGAACCAGTTAGTACTTTTTCGCGTGGTCGTGGCTTGGGCAGGGGGGCACCTCGAGGGATGCGTGCAGGAAGAGGTCAGGGACCACGTATGCTCCCAACAGAAACACCTCCCGACTTCGCTGGTGACCTGAATACATCTAGGTAAGTGGGTTTTGATCTCAGTGGTGATTTACAAGAGGGACGGGTTTTGATTCGAGAGGGCGTGGGAGAGGCAGAGGAAGAGCAACGTATGGCCGGGGTCGTGGCATGCCGTTCAACTCAAGTCGCGAATTCGACCATCAGAATGGTCCTGATCGCCAGTGAGTAGCCTTTTTACCTTTCACGTTAATGATGAATTGTTATCCCTGTCCTATGAAATGCGGAAACACTATCTGATGCTTATTTCCACACACGGGTCACAACTAACGAGCCTCTCTCTTATCTTTGTAGGGGTCCAAGACAATATGGTAGGAGAGATGGAAACTGGAACCCACAAGAGGCTGACGGACAAGCAGCACCTGAGGGTGGTGATGCAGAGCAGGCTGTACGTTTGTCAGAAGATCAAACTGCAGTCGGAGACGGGTTGGAACGTCCACAACCGGAGGCTGAAGAAGAGGCGAATGGTGCTACAGAGACACCCGTGGAGGAGGAACCCAAGAGCTACACTCTGGAAGAGTACAAAGCCATGCGTCAGTCCGCCAAGCCGGCAGTCATCTTAAGCAACAAGAACCTCCGTAAAGCCAACGACGGTAAAGATGTGTTTGCAAACATGGTGGCTCACAGAAAAATACAGGAGACTCACGAAGATGATGACGAGGTTGATGAGAAGGAGGATGCGCCTCAGGTAAGTTATGTTATTCTGCACTCACGCTGAATTCACTCTAGGAGCACCAGTCGATTGACATTGACTTCTCATTCGTTGATGAATTTGGAAACCGTAGAAGAGGAGGTGGCAGAGGATTTGACGGCAGAGGGTCTGATCGTGGACGTCGTGGTGTATGGCCAAGAGGCGAACGTGGAGGCCGCGGAAGAGGTCAACTGAGGGGTGACGGGCGAGGCCGTGGTTTTGGTCGCGTTCTACCCTCTGAGGATCACATTCCACCGCCGGCAATATACAGTGACCAGGAGTTCCCTTCCTTGAAGTAATTTCCGAAAAGCAGGCGAAGTAAACCTTTGGACTAAGAAGATTCTCCTTTCTCAACTTTTGGTTCCCTGAAGGCTTGTAGTCCTGGCCTTTGCTTATCCATACCCATTCCTCCCCCATCCTTTAATCTCCAGCTTTGTAATCTAGTTTCATCCGAAAGCAGTTCCAGGACTGAATTTGTAATTATGGCTGTGCTGCTTCAGATGTGATTGCAAAGCTTTGTACATGAATGTTCTGACCATGTCACAGTTTTGCGATTGACATGACCAATCGCCTTCAATAAACCTTGACGAGAGTACTCTTTTCAGCTTCTAAAAGAGGTGGGTTCCTGCCGTATTCTGTCCATGGGTTGCTTTGATTTTAGTCTAGACGCTAGATGAACACTTTGGTATCTGGTCTCAAACACCGATAAGGAGCGCTTGGTCTACTGTCGAGTCAGTGGAGACGCGTGAGTTCTGTGCCCCACCTCGGCTGATCGGAGCGTGTTTCTGTCTTGGTCGGACGGCCATTGCAGTTGTAGGTTGCTTTGAGATTCTAGTGGGATTCCATGGGAGTGCTTTTTCCGTGTGGCACACTTGCTTACCGCTGTCACCAGGTGGATTTCAGACATGAGATTCATGTGCATGTGGAGGGATGATGGTGGAGTTGTGTGCTAGCAACCTTAGGAGCAGTCGTTTTGAACAGGTTTGCCAGCTGGTAGGGAATGTGACAATGGGATACATGGACTGTGCTGCTTTCCCATGTCACACCATTTGAGTGAGTCGCGTGGTGTCGGTGTCACCTCACCGTTATTGTGTTCGTATTCAGTCATCTCCAGCCTCAACGGAGTTGAATAATGAGTTGGCAGGCTCGGGATGACTGGCTTGTCGTCACTTCAATTATCGTGATCGCTAATCTGTCCGTGGCTTACTTCCTGTAAGCTGGGCTGCATGTTGTTTCGGTCTTACCCCTGCTTACCCAAAAAGCTGTTGCAACGGTTAAGGACAGTCTTCTTGTTAGTTATCCTCTGACGTGCTAGTCTTGTGACTAGGTGTTCGATGCCTAGCCACGTACTGCACTAACACCGGCGACGTGACTATTCCCTCGTGGTCTTGCGCTCTCACCATCCGATGTTGTGAGGTCTGAGACTTCAAATCCCAGGAATGGTGGCTGGACCACGTGTCCTTGGTTCTCTCGTGTAACTATCCCCGGCTAACTGAATCTGTCCTGGGTTTGTTGGGTGTTGTTTGTCTCCGATAAGTACTTGACACCTGTCTACATCCTCATCAACAAGTCCATCTCTATCTGGGATTCACCGTCCAGTGGCCTGGTCACCATCCCTGGAGCTAGGTTACGAGGGGGCTGGTCTCACGGTTAGATCGATCATGCTGTAATCAGGTAGGTGGTGGTTTCCTGAGCCTTGACTTCGACGAGTTCCTTTGCACCGTTCAAAAAGTGGTTTGAAGGGATTCATTCTTACTAACGAGAAAAATCCTACCCTTCTTGATCTGCCATCGACATCTAGGGAATGTAAGTAAGGAGACGACGATCAGGCCCATGATCATTTTCTTCCTCTGCCACTCCTGTACCATAACATCGAGATGCAACTGCATCAGAATGCCATGTGAGGCATTTGCCCGACCTGTGAACTACCACTCATTGATCATTGAACCGTGGGAATGCAACTGCCAGACTATTCCAGCTAAATTCACTTATCAATCAACATGGTTTATGAAGTTCACTGACAGAATTTCTGGGTATTTGTCAACCATTTGATTAGTCGTGGTCAATGGTTGTTGTGTTTTGCTGAACAGGCATATTCCATTTCCGTTGCGCTGCGATGATCATGTTGAATGCTTTCAAACAGTGTGTTGTGTAGTCATGGCTGGTGTTGACCACGCCTACCAGTATTCCGTGGAGGTGAAGAGCAGGTTCTCACTGTTTCTGGACGATGCGCTGAGTAGTGAGGATCCAGACATTCTGCTATCTAAGTTGCAAACCAAACGGACTGAGAAGACCAAGAAGGAGAAGTCTCACGTGCAGCAGCAACAACAACAGCAGGCCACACCTGTGAAAGTCGACACAGTAATCAAGAATGAGACGAAAGTTGATTCAGCAGTGCCGAAAGGTAGGTGGGAATAAAATCTCTAACCAATTCAGCTGCACCTCAACCGTCCAAGTCCCCTGGCTCCACAGAGATACCCCGAGTGCCCCCAGAGGACATGCAGAACTATGCTGCTAAGGAGGCAGAGGAACCAGTTAGTACTTTTTCGCGTGGTCGTGGCTTGGGCAGGGGGGCACCTCGAGGGATGCGTGCAGGAAGAGGTCAGGGACCACGTATGCTCCCAACAGAAACACCTCCCGACTTCGCTGGTGACCTGAATACATCTAGGTAAGTGGGTTTTGATCTCAGTGGTGATTTACAAGAGGGACGGGTTTTGATTCGAGAGGGCGTGGGAGAGGCAGAGGAAGAGCAACGTATGGCCGGGGTCGTGGCATGCCGTTCAACTCAAGTCGCGAATTCGACCATCAGAATGGTCCTGATCGCCAGTGAGTAGCCTTTTTACCTTTCACGTTAATGATGAATTGTTATCCCTGTCCTATGAAATGCGGAAACACTATCTGATGCTTATTTCCACACACGGGTCACAACTAACGAGCCTCTCTCTTATCTTTGTAGGGGTCCAAGACAATATGGTAGGAGAGATGGAAACTGGAACCCACAAGAGGCTGACGGACAAGCAGCACCTGAGGGTGGTGATGCAGAGCAGGCTGTACGTTTGTCAGAAGATCAAACTGCAGTCGGAGACGGGTTGGAACGTCCACAACCGGAGGCTGAAGAAGAGGCGAATGGTGCTACAGAGACACCCGTGGAGGAGGAACCCAAGAGCTACACTCTGGAAGAGTACAAAGCCATGCGTCAGTCCGCCAAGCCGGCAGTCATCCTAAGCAACAAGAACCTCCGTAAAGCCAACGACGGTAAAGATGTGTTTGCAAACATGGTGGCTCACAGAAAAATACAGGAGACTCACGAAGATGATGACGAGGTTGATGAGAAGGAGGATGCGCCTCAGGTAAGTTATGTTATTCTGCACTCACGCTGAATTCACTCTAGGAGCACCAGTCGATTGACATTGACTTCTCATTCGTTGATGAATTTGGAAACCGTAGAAGAGGAGGTGGCAGAGGATTTGACGGCAGAGGGTCTGATCGTGGACGTCGTGGTGTATGGCCAAGAGGCGAACGTGGAGGCCGCGGAAGAGGTCAACTGAGGGGTGACGGGCGAGGCCGTGGTTTTGGTCGCGTTCTACCCTCTGAGGATCACATTCCACCGCCGGCAATATACAGTGACCAGGAGTTCCCTTCCTTGAAGTAATTTCCGAAAAGCAGGCGAAGTAAACCTTTGGACTAAGAAGATTCTCCTTTCTCAACTTTTGGTTCCCTGAAGGCTTGTAGTCCTGGCCTTTGCTTATCCATACCCATTCCTCCCCCATCCTTTAATCTCCAGCTTTGTAATCTAGTTTCATCCGAAAGCAGTTCCAGGACTGAATTTGTAATTATGGCTGTGCTGCTTCAGATGTGATTGCAAAGCTTTGTACATGAATGTTCTGACCATGTCACAGTTTTGCGATTGACATGACCAATCGCCTTCAATAAACCTTGACGAGAGTACTCTTTTCAGCTTCTAAAAGAGGTGGGTTCCTGCCGTATTCTGTCCATGGGTTGCTTTGATTTTAGTCTAGACGCTAGATGAACACTTTGGTATCTGGTCTCAAACACCGATAAGGAGCGCTTGGTCTACTGTCGAGTCAGTGGAGACGCGTGAGTTCTGTGCCCCACCTCGGCTGATCGGAGCGTGTTTCTGTCTTGGTCGGACGGCCATTGCAGTTGTAGGTTGCTTTGAGATTCTAGTGGGATTCCATGGGAGTGCTTTTTCCGTGTGGCACACTTGCTTACCGCTGTCACCAGGTGGATTTCAGACATGAGATTCATGTGCATGTGGAGGGATGATGGTGTTGTGTGCTAGCAACCTTAGGAGCAGTCGTTTTGAACAGGTTTGCCAGCTGGTAGGGAATGTGACAATGGGATACATGGACTGTGCTGCTTTCCCATGTCACACCATTTGAGTGAGTCGCGTGGTGTCGGTGTCACCTCACCGTTATTGTGTTCGTATTCAGTCATCTCCAGCCTCAACGGAGTTGAATAATGAGTTGGCAGGCTCGGGATGACTGGCTTGTCGTCACTTCAATTATCGTGATCGCTAATCTGTCCGTGGCTTACTTCCTGTAAGCTGGGCTGCATGTTGTTTCGGTCTTACCCCTGCTTACCCAAAAAGCTGTTGCAACGGTTAAGGACAGTCTTCTTGTTAGTTATCCTCTGACGTGCTAGTCTTGTGACTAGGTGTTCGATGCCTAGCCACGTACTGCACTAACACCGGCGACGTGACTATTCCCTCGTGGTCTTGCGCTCTCACCATCCGATGTTGTGATGTCTGAGACTTCAAATCCCAGGAATGGTGGCTGGACCACGTGTCCTTGGTTCTCTCGTGTAACTATCCCCGGCTAACTGAATCTGTCCTGGGTTTGTTGGGTGTTGTTTGTCTCCGATAAGTACTTGACACCTGTCTACATCCTCATCAACAAGTCCATCTCTATCTGGGATTCACCGTCCAGTGGCCTGGTCACCATCCCTGGAGCTAGGTTACGAGGGGGCTGGTCTCACGGTTAGATCGATCATGCTGTAATCAGGTAGGTGGTGGTTTCCTGAGCCTTGACTTCGACGAGTTCCTTTGCACCGTTCAAAAAGTGGTTTGAAGGGATTCATTCTTACTAACGAGAAAAATCCTACCCTTCTTGATCTGCCATCGACATCTAGGGAATGTAAGTAAGGAGACGACGATCAGGCCCATGATCATTTTCTTCCTCTGCCACTCCTGTACCATAACATCGAGATGCAACTGCATCAGAATGCCATGTGAGGCATTTGCCCGACCTGTGAACTACCACTCATTGATCATTGAACCGTGGGAATGCAACTGCCAGACTATTCCAGCTAAATTCACTTATCAATCAACATGGTTTATGAAGTTCACTGACAGAATTTCTGGGTATTTGTCAACCATTTGATTAGTCGTGGTCAATGGTTGTTGTGTTTTGCTGAACAGGCATATTCCATTTCCGTTGCGCTGCGATGATCATGTTGAATGCTTTCAAACAGTGTGTTGTGTAGTCATGGCTGGTGTTGACCACGCCTACCAGTATTCCGTGGAGGTGAAGAGCAGGTTCTCACTGTTTCTGGACGATGCGCTGAGTAGTGAGGATCCAGACATTCTGCTATCTAAGTTGCAAACCAAACGGACTGAGAAGACCAAGAAGGAGAAGTCTCACGTGCAGCAGCAACAACAACAGCAGGCCACACCTGTGAAAGTCGACACAGTAATCAAGAATGAGACGAAAGTTGATTCAGCAGTCCCGAAAGGTAGGTGGGAATAAAATCTCTAACCAATTCAGCTGCACCTCAACCGTCCAAGTCCCCTGGCTCCACAGAGATACCCCGAGTGCCCCCAGAGGACATGCAGAACTATGCTGCTAAGGAGGCAGAGGAACCAGTTAGTACTTTTTCGCGTGGTCGTGGCTTGGGCAGGGGGGCACCTCGAGGGATGCGTGCAGGAAGAGGTCAGGGACCACGTATGCTCCCAACAGAAACACCTCCCGACTTCGCTGGTGACCTGAATACATCTAGGTAAGTGGGTTTTGATCTCAGTGGTGATTTACAAGAGGGACGGGTTTTGATTCGAGAGGGCGTGGGAGAGGCAGAGGAAGAGCAACGTATGGCCGGGGTCGTGGCATGCCGTTCAACTCAAGTCGCGAATTCGACCATCAGAATGGTCCTGATCGCCAGTGAGTAGCCTTTTTACCTTTCACGTTAATGATGAATTGTTATCCCTGTCCTATGAAATGCGGAAACACTATCTGATGCTTATTTCCACACACGGGTCACAACTAACGAGCCTCTCTCTTATCTTTGTAGGGGTCCAAGACAATATGGTAGGAGAGATGGAAACTGGAACCCACAAGAGGCTGACGGACAAGCAGCACCTGAGGGTGGTGATGCAGAGCAGGCTGTACGTTTGTCAGAAGATCAAACTGCAGTCGGAGACGGGTTGGAACGTCCACAACCGGAGGCTGAAGAAGAGGCGAATGGTGCTACAGAGACACCCGTGGAGGAGGAACCCAAGAGCTACACTCTGGAAGAGTACAAAGCCATGCGTCAGTCCGCCAAGCCGGCAGTCATCCTAAGCAACAAGAACCTCCGTAAAGCCAACGACGGTAAAGATGTGTTTGCAAACATGGTGGCTCACAGAAAAATACAGGAGACTCACGAAGATGATGACGAGGTTGATGAGAAGGAGGATGCGCCTCAGGTAAGTTATGTTATTCTGCACTCACGCTGAATTCACTCTAGGAGCACCAGTCGATTGACATTGACTTCTCATTCGTTGATGAATTTGGAAACCGTAGAAGAGGAGGTGGCAGAGGATTTGACGGCAGAGGGTCTGATCGTGGACGTCGTGGTGTATGGCCAAGAGGCGAACGTGGAGGCCGCGGAAGAGGTCAACTGAGGGGTGACGGGCGAGGCCGTGGTTTTGGTCGCGTTCTACCCTCTGAGGATCACATTCCACCGCCGGCAATATACAGTGACCAGGAGTTCCCTTCCTTGAAGTAATTTCCGAAAAGCAGGCGAAGTAAACCTTTGGACTAAGAAGATTCTCCTTTCTCAACTTTTGGTTCCCTGAAGGCTTGTAGTCCTGGCCTTTGCTTATCCATACCCATTCCTCCCCCATCCTTTAATCTCCAGCTTTGTAATCTAGTTTCATCCGAAAGCAGTTCCAGGACTGAATTTGTAATTATGGCTGTGCTGCTTCAGATGTGATTGCAAAGCTTTGTACATGAATGTTCTGACCATGTCACAGTTTTGCGATTGACATGACCAATCGCCTTCAATAAACCTTGACGAGAGTACTCTTTTCAGCTTCTAAAAGAGGTGGGTTCCTGCCGTATTCTGTCCATGGGTTGCTTTGATTTTAGTCCAGACGCTAGATGAACACTTTGGTATCTGGTCTCAAACACCGATAAGGAGCGCTTGGTCTACTGTCGAGTCAGTGGAGACGCGTGAGTTCTGTGCCCCACCTCGGCTGATCGGAGCGTGTTTCTGTCTTGGTCGGACGGCCATTGCAGTTGTAGGTTGCTTTGAGATTCTAGTGGGATTCCATGGGAGTGCTTTTTCCGTGTGGCACACTTGCTTACCGCTGTCACCAGGTGGATTTCAGACATGAGATTCATGTGCATGTGGAGGGATGATGGTGGAGTTGTGTGCTAGCAACCTTAGGAGCAGTCGTTTTGAACAGGTTTGCCAGCTGGTAGGGAATGTGACAATGGGATACATGGACTGTGCTGCTTTCCCATGTCACACCATTTGAGTGAGTCGCGTGGTGTCGGTGTCACCTCACCGTTATTGTGTTCGTATTCAGTCATCTCCAGCCTCAACGGAGTTGAATAATGAGTTGGCAGGCTCGGGATGACTGGCTTGTCGTCACTTCAATTATCGTGATCGCTAATCTGTCCGTGGCTTACTTCCTGTAAGCTGGGCTGCATGTTGTTTCGGTCTTACCCCTGCTTACCCAAAAAGCTGTTGCAACGGTTAAGGACAGTCTTCTTGTTAGTTATCCTCTGACGTGCTAGTCTTGTGACTAGGTGTTCGATGCCTAGCCACGTACTGCACTAACACCGGCGACGTGACTATTCCCTCGTGGTCTTGCGCTCTCACCATCCGATGTTGTGATGTCTGAGACTTCAAATCCCAGGAATGGTGGCTGGACCACGTGTCCTTGGTTCTCTCGTGTAACTATCTCCGGCTAACTGAATCTGTCCTGGGTTTGTTGGGTGTTGTTTGTCTCCGATAAGTACTTGACACCTGTCTACATCCTCATCAACAAGTCCATCTCTATCTGGGATTCACCGTCCAGTGGCCTGGTCACCATCCCTGGAGCTAGGTTACGAGGGGGCTGGTCTCACGGTTAGATCGATCATGCTGTAATCAGGTAGGTGGTGGTTTCCTGAGCCTTGACTTCGACGAGTTCCTTTGCACCGTTCAAAAAGTGGTTTGAAGGGATTCATTCTTACTAACGAGAAAAATCCTACCCTTCTTGATCTGCCATCGACATCTAGGGAATGTAAGTAAGGAGACGACGATCAGGCCCATGATCATTTTCTTCCTCTGCCACTCCTGTACCATAACATCGAGATGCAACTGCATCAGAATGCCATGTGAGGCATTTGCCCGACCTGTGAACTACCACTCATTGATCATTGAACCGTGGGAATGCAACTGCCAGACTATTCCAGCTAAATTCACTTATCAATCAACATGGTTTATGAAGTTCACTGACAGAATTTCTGGGTATTTGTCAACCATTTGATTAGTCGTGGTCAATGGTTGTTGTGTTTTGCTGAACAGGCATATTCCATTTCCGTTGCGCTGCGATGATCATGTTGAATGCTTTCAAACAGTGTGTTGTGTAGTCATGGCTGGTGTTGACCACGCCTACCAGTATTCCGTGGAGGTGAAGAGCAGGTTCTCACTGTTTCTGGACGATGCGCTGAGTAGTGAGGATCCAGACATTCTGCTATCTAAGTTGCAAACCAAACGGACTGAGAAGACCAAGAAGGAGAAGTCTCACGTGCAGCAGCAACAACAACAGCAGGCCACACCTGTGAAAGTCGACACAGTAATCAAGAATGAGACGAAAGTTGATTCAGCAGTCCCGAAAGGTAGGTGGGAATAAAATCTCTAACCAATTCAGCTGCACCTCAACCGTCCAAGTCCCCTGGCTCCACAGAGATACCCCGAGTGCCCCCAGAGGACATGCAGAACTATGCTGCTAAGGAGGCAGAGGAACCAGTTAGTACTTTTTCGCGTGGTCGTGGCTTGGGCAGGGGGGCACCTCGAGGGATGCGTGCAGGAAGAGGTCAGGGACCACGTATGCTCCCAACAGAAACACCTCCCGACTTCGCTGGTGACCTGAATACATCTAGGTAAGTGGGTTTTGATCTCAGTGGTGATTTACAAGAGGGACGGGTTTTGATTCGAGAGGGCGTGGGAGAGGCAGAGGAAGAGCAACGTATGGCCGGGGTCGTGGCATGCCGTTCAACTCAAGTCGCGAATTCGACCATCAGAATGGTCCTGATCGCCAGTGAGTAGCCTTTTTACCTTTCACGTTAATGATGAATTGTTATCCCTGTCCTATGAAATGCGGAAACACTATCTGATGCTTATTTCCACACACGGGTCACAACTAACGAGCCTCTCTCTTATCTTTGTAGGGGTCCAAGACAATATGGTAGGAGAGATGGAAACTGGAACCCACAAGAGGCTGACGGACAAGCAGCACCTGAGGGTGGTGATGCAGAGCAGGCTGTACGTTTGTCAGAAGATCAAACTGCAGTCGGAGACGGGTTGGAACGTCCACAACCGGAGGCTGAAGAAGAGGCGAATGGTGCTACAGAGACACCCGTGGAGGAGGAACCCAAGAGCTACACTCTGGAAGAGTACAAAGCCATGCGTCAGTCCGCCAAGCCGGCAGTCATCCTAAGCAACAAGAACCTCCGTAAAGCCAACGACGGTAAAGATGTGTTTGCAAACATGGTGGCTCACAGAAAAATACAGGAGACTCACGAAGATGATGACGAGGTTGATGAGAAGGAGGATGCGCCTCAGGTAAGTTATGTTATTCTGCACTCACGCTGAATTCACTCTAGGAGCACCAGTCGATTGACATTGACTTCTCATTCGTTGATGAATTTGGAAACCGTAGAAGAGGAGGTGGCAGAGGATTTGACGGCAGAGGGTCTGATCGTGGACGTCGTGGTGTATGGCCAAGAGGCGAACGTGGAGGCCGCGGAAGAGGTCAACTGAGGGGTGACGGGCGAGGCCGTGGTTTTGGTCGCGTTCTACCCTCTGAGGATCACATTCCACCGCCGGCAATATACAGTGACCAGGAGTTCCCTTCCTTGAAGTAATTTCCGAAAAGCAGGCGAAGTAAACCTTTGGACTAAGAAGATTCTCCTTTCTCAACTTTTGGTTCCCTGAAGGCTTGTAGTCCTGGCCTTTGCTTGTCCATACCCATTCCTCCCCCATCCTTTAATCTCCAGCTTTGTAATCTAGTTTCATCCGAAAGCAGTTCCAGGACTGAATTTGTAATTATGGCTGTGCTGCTTCAGATGTGATTGCAAAGCTTTGTACATGAATGTTCTGACCATGTCACAGTTTTGCGATTGACATGACCAATCGCCTTCAATAAACCTTGACGAGAGTACTCTTTTCAGCTTCTAAAAGAGGTGGGTTCCTGCCGTATTCTGTCCATGGGTTGCTTTGATTTTAGTCTAGACGCTAGATGAACACTTTGGTATCTGGTCTCAAACACCGATAAGGAGCGCTTGGTCTACTGTCGAGTCAGTGGAGACGCGTGAGTTCTGTGCCCCACCTCGGCTGATCGGAGCGTGTTTCTGTCTTGGTCGGACGGCCATTGCAGTTGTAGGTTGCTTTGAGATTCTAGTGGGATTCCATGGGAGTGCTTTTTCCGTGTGGCACACTTGCTTACCGCTGTCACCAGGTGGATTTCAGACATGAGATTCATGTGCATGTGGAGGGATGATGGTGGAGTTGTGTGCTAGCAACCTTAGGAGCAGTCGTTTTGAACAGGTTTGCCAGCTGGTAGGGAATGTGACAATGGGATACATGGACTGTGCTGCTTTCCCATGTCACACCATTTGAGTGAGTCGCGTGGTGTCGGTGTCACCTCACCGTTATTGTGTTCGTATTCAGTCATCTCCAGCCTCAACGGAGTTGAATAATGAGTTGGCAGGCTCGGGATGACTGGCTTGTCGTCACTTCAATTATCGTGATCGCTAATCTGTCCGTGGCTTACTTCCTGTAAGCTGGGCTGCATGTTGTTTCGGTCTTACCCCTGCTTACCCAAAAAGCTGTTGCAACGGTTAAGGACAGTCTTCTTGTTAGTTATCCTCTGACGTGCTAGTCTTGTGACTAGGTGTTCGATGCCTAGCCACGTACTGCACTAACACCGGCGACGTGACTATTCCCTCGTGGTCTTGCGCTCTCACCATCCGATGTTGTGATGTCTGAGACTTCAAATCCCAGGAATGGTGGCTGGACCACGTGTCCTCTTTTCTTCCGTGTTATTTTCCTGGGATGGCTTGCTTTTTCGCTGTTGTAGTGCTGAGGATTTTTGCGCATTGGTGTGATTTAGGAGTAGTGATTGCGGGTTGTCGTGCGGTGTAGTTGTATATGTTCTGGTTATTGATTGCTTGCCCCGGGGATTGGTTTTCAAAGTCTTATGTTTCTTTTATATTGTTACTTGGTTGTTTGGTATTGTGTTTTCGGTTGTTCGTTTTGATATAATTGTAGACTTCTGTCGATCAGTTTGCATTTTTGTTATATTAGTGTTTGGATGTCGAATTTAGTAAGCATAGGTCATTAAATGATGCAATTTGTTAAGTGTTATGTCTGTGTGTGGTTGAAGGTAATTGCAGGCTTTTGTATTAGTGCAGTGGTCCATGTTGTTACCGATGGAACTTATCATTGTGTGAGGGGCTATCAAAGTGGTTAGAATTTTTTGGTCTATGAAGCAGCTTATTGAATTTTACTATTATTCCTTTTTTAAATCATTGTTTGTACCAATGTATCAGTGGTAGTTGGAATCACTGGATTTACTCTGCTTGTATTTCGGTCTCAAAATTTTCAGAATGTACCGGTTTTTGGGTGCTCATGTTATTTTGATGGTTGTGCCCCTCACTTATGTAATGTTATATTATTTTCGTGCCGAAATTTACTTTAGGAAAATGATTCCCACTAGGTGATGTTTGAAGATGAAGTGAAAATTTGGGCCGTGGCATGATTCAAACCAGTTACGCGATTACATACCGGACCCGGTGGTCGCTGGTTGAATCAGGCTGCGGTCTTAATTTTTCTTTCACCTGTAGTGAAAACTAGTCTGTCAAATTATTGGTCAGATAAATGTAAAAAATGATTCCTGGATATACAGTGAAATTCGAATGTTTCGTTATCACTATTGCCCATGCTAGCCAGGGCTTAACCTGCTGGTAGTTAGATCTAATCTGCCTTGGAACTTCGATGACGAATAGTGTCGGTCTCAGGTTTGCGTACATGGTTAACCTACGGTTACTACAAACCTACTGTGGTTCATTAGCCACGCAGACGGATGATATTCTTGTAAGGCTTTGAGATATCCTGCGAATTATTATTGTCGCTTGGTGCCTGAGATATCAAATTCAGGTGCTAGAATTATATTTCTTATTTGAGCTTCATGTATGATCATACTGGTCAACACTAGACGATAGTATTTCTGATTTCTACGAAATCTCATTGTCTGTTGTTAGTAGGTTCCATATCAGTATATGCTTCTAACGTTTTAGATTACTGCCATAATCATTCTCCCTGTCAACAACTGAGAATGTGTTATGGTCTGTTACACTTGCAAAATGTTTCCACATATGGGGAAAGCAAATCACTGGAAGTTGAATTTTATGTAGGTACATTCAGTTCCGAGTGTCAGTTGAAGGTCATGAAATAACGTGCTCTAACAAAGAATCCCACTGATTTTTAGACTTGAACAATCAAACCGTGGTGTTTAGAAACTACGTTGATGTCCTCTCAGGTGGCTGTTTTGAGAGAAGGAATAACTGAAGTAGTTAAGTACTCACTATTATTTATGGGTCATGGCGACACATGAGCTGCTCAAGATTCGGCTGGGACCTGGATGGGAAGCTAATACGTTTCCTCAAAGTACCAAAGACTGTTTTAGATCCTAAACAATGCAAAACAGTAGGACCTAGTGGTTTGCCACTAGAAGATTTAGGTATTAAATTACTGATTTGATTAACGGGGGTAGTAGATGGACATACGAAACCAATGTAAAACATCGTACAGAAGTGCATCGGTTCGAGATGCTACTCTTCACAGCAGCATGGAAACAATAAGTGGGTAGAGACTAGTGATGTCAAAATAGAAAAGTAACAAAGAAGGGAAGATCTTAGACTAGAGCAGTCAGAAAATTGTGTTTTGAGATGTCAAAAAGTGAATGCCTCTGCTACACTGTGACTCGTTAACAACCACTGATGCTTATATTGAGGACTTCAACAAGGTAGTATGCGCATCCCCGCATGGTTTCGACCATGAGTCAGAGATTTCAAGGGCTGATCATACTTAGTGTGACCACTATGATCCCTCTTCCAACCTAGTCTAACTTTTGCCTGTCGAGGTTGACGATGGCTTGGGATTCACAGTGCGTGTCCGAGTCACTAGATTCACAACATCGACCGACCTGCTTGTCTTATCTTAGTACTCTTCGCCTGATCTGTATATTGTTGACATGCTGCTAGCTCTGTACGCCATCAGTGCTACGGTGACACTATGGTCAAGAACTTGTGGTCTTTTCATATTTCCTAGGAAGCGCATGGGAACCTCATCTCTTCCTACTTAGTTAATTACACTAGTTCATACAAAAGGACGGTTGTTTTGATGTGGCAACCGTAGGGTAATCAGTTTGACTAATCATACTCGCGAATCTACCGCCTGTAGTTTTGTGAAGCTTACCGGCAGCTCGAGGAAGGCAAATAGCTTTCAGGGCGCAATAATCAGACTTAAGACCTTCGAGATGTTTGGGAACATTGGCATACTTACCGAATGCTGACACTTGCCATATTCTTTAACTCAAAAGCTGTATTCGATTCTGTCAATGGAGAATTGTACTAGCAGTGTCAAACTGTGAAAGAAAATATTGAGTAAGTCTAATGCCAATCAAATCTGTACTGGGACTCACGCAATCGTCGAAGTGTTCATGGAGAGTTATCATCTTGAATGAACACTGGTGATGTCCATCATGTATGCCCACTGTCCCTGTTTCTGTTTACCTTTTTTATGGATGTAATAATAGATATAAAACCATGGGTACATCTGACCAAAGGGCATGTGAAAGACTCGTGCATATGAGGACGATATTGTCCTACCGGGTGGAGACTGACGAAATGCAGGGTCTTCTGAACGCGCTGAGCAGCAGCCTGAGTATATTTGGCGTGTATCTCGTACCTATGGAATGTAAGATGGTTGGTTGCTGGCATAATCGCAGATTAGATACAAAAGATATGCTTTGTGTTTGCTTCACATCTGATACCGCCCGGCGAGACATCAGGCTACGTGTCAAAGGACAAGTGGACTCCACTACCGTCTGTTCTGTTATACGATTGTGGGGTATGATCGTTGAAAGTAGAAGGTATGAGAATACTGTAGGTTTTCATGCATTTCTGTTCTGGGAGCATTTCTCACGTATAGTTAAGTCACTGTACAAAAGGTGTTGAGGTTCGCTGAAATGCGCTAGGCGAATCAGGCAGGTCAGTTGATAAGATTGTGAACTGTTACCGACAGAAGTGGGTTGGACACGCCGGGCATGTTGAGTCACTCCCTATCTCTATGCACGATGTTATCCGAAGTAGGATCGAGTTCGAAGAAGTATCATTATGGCCGTACCAAGCTCGTCAATCCATGAAGTATCTAACTGTTGGTAAGACCTTAGTAATATCCCGTCCTATTTTGCAATGAGCCATGTATTGATGTGTTGACTACATGGCTAGGGACCTGGAGATTACAGAAATCAACAGTTGGTGACATAGCTGAGAATAGCTCACCATGGCGTAGAAGTATTCACGTTTAGAAGTCTTCTAAAGCCAGAATATTCTGACCAACCTTTTTTAAAATCCCTCATTCTCCACTCCTATTTTTACTGTGATACTACCGTTTTTCTACCCTAGCGACTTCCATATCGAACCGATGCACTTTTTTACGACACAACCCAGATTTTTTCTGCCTGTCCGACGTAGGTGACGGTAGCATAATATGAGGTTTTCCCCCAATCTGCTGTAAGTTTGTGGAATTCACTTTTCGTATGGAAAGATATAGGAAACGATTGTTATTTTAAAACCTGTAATCCCTTCATATCTTTTACTTTTAATGGCCATTCTTAACAACTATATAACAGAGCCAAACGGGCTGCAGGGCAATATATTTGTCCTTTGTCCTCAGATATTTCACCAATCAGCATCAGAGACGACCTAAGTTGGTAAATGCCGGACATTCTCTGCCCGAACTGAGATTACCCCCAGCAACTAACCCGTTTAGGTGTATACAACACCCCCCCCCCCCCCCAATAAGTGAAGTGGTTAACACATCCGATCACTTCACCTCCTGTGATTGGACTAGAATTAGCTTCAGATCAGCCCTAAAACATCATTTTTTATTTGACAGGCGCAAGATGCATAACAAATATCCTCATATTTCTGTTCAAGACGCTCAGGAGACCCTGCGTTTTATCAGCGTTTTCGCCCAAGTTAACCAGGTGGCCCTCGGGGAGTAGATCAAGTCGGAGGTACTTTTGTCTAATATTGCATTCACAAAGTAAATTCAAAATCCCGTCAGCAAATTTGTGAACGTTTGAACAGTAGACAATGAGTCACACCTACTGTGTGGTGTCTACAAATGCTAGCTGGTTTCTAGTCTTAAGTTGGTTTCGGGACCCGTGACTTTTTCGTTGGAAGACGAGTGCATATACCAGGTAGCCACACTGAATCTTAAATCTTTTTTCTCAGAAACCTTAGTTGATGGCATAAAACTGTGTGTAAGTGTTTTCCTCTGGCAACCACTTTCTGTATCATTCAGTTAGTGGGTTCCTGTAGGAGTAGCCTGTTCCAGTCATTGTGCATGTCGTTGCAAATGTTAACACCAACTGTATTCACAAAAGGAGTTGACCCAACCTTTATCGGCAGTCCGTTGACATGGTGTAGGTAAGAAAGAAGGCTTAAAATTGTTTGGCGCTACTCACTGCTTTCCATGAGGGTATTGCTTTAGTTTCCTGTCTTATGGCATTAAGGAAGTCTTTAATCTAGTCTGTCACTTTACTATCGGTCCCAAAACTCGTCAGACGCACTAGGAACCCTTAATGAGAGACTGTCGAAGTACTTACTAAAATTACATAGGTAAATTTATATTGGCGGATGCGGCTCAGTTTTTCGCTTACAATGAGCAGACTAGACATATGAGCCGTGAACATTATTTTGATGGCTGGTGGCTATCATTAAGTATGTCAGGTAACTTTGAAGGTAAATAACTTTCTAGCCTGTTACCAAGTTGCAGCATCACGTGTTGCATGGTAACTTCTCTGTTTAGCCTGGTTATATATCAGCAAACCATAGATTATGAGCTCTGTCGCATTATGCTTCCCAATAATATTTTCGTCTGCAAAACGTAAGCAGGTAACTATTCTTCTGTGAGATGCTGACATTTCTCAGGCTATGCTTAGCACAAATTGAGCGGAAGTCCTAAAATCTTTGGCATTCACGTCACTCGACATTTACTGTAGTCGTGAAACTGCGCTCAAATTTCAGTAAAATCTTGTTTGTGAACATTGTGCTTTTTGGATGTTGTTGTAATTGAGTGATTTTCTAGTAGATTGTAGTGTTCGTTAGTCTAAAACGTGTTTTGAAACTCATGAGTCAACGGTTGGACTTTCGATCGTCACTATGTACGACTTCAGCAGGAACCGTTGTAATTTGTTCGAACCTTAATTGAACGACCCCATAAACCACTCGCATAATCATGCACGAAATAATGAGCCACACCGAATATATGATTTCTAATTATTCTATCTGGATGATCAAACCTCAGCCAATGGAGCATATTTTGAAACTTCGACCCACTCGTCAATAACCTACTCGAAAAGATGTAGCAGTTTTACTTGTCACTCAGGATTGAGTTATATATTGCAGTGATTTTTGGAAAAGGCTTATGTCGTTTAAAGAAAGATGGGTGTATTGGTTTCTTGCATGTTACTTCTGAAGTTATTTCAGGCCATCGTATTCCTCAAACTTTCAAAAACTCTTTGGAAATTGACTCTTATAGGGTAATCCACGTCTCATTCGGATTAAGAAGACATTGATTGTACTGTTATGTGTGTTACGCAGCAACAATCATTGTGTTCTTGAAGGTATAAGGTATTTTTAATTCTCGATATGAGATGATATTTTAAAAATGTCTCGTTAGAGGAAAGTATTTGTAAGAGTCTGTTAGCATGCTGACTGCATCTGGACAAGGAAACCCCAGGTTTATCTATGTTGTTCAACTGAGGATACTTATTATTTGAGACGTATGATGGGGATATACAGGCTTACTGTATCTAATATCTTTTCCTTAACAGTATCATTAAGATAACTATGAAGTGAGTACATCACTAGGATGCACAACCATTATCCAGAGGGAAAAAATCCATCCTCAGTATTTGAATGATATCATCTGATCGCGAGACAGCGTGTGCACCGCGTAAATTATACCTAGTCAGTTTTCGATCAGTATCTGTAGGGGCGTTATTCCCTTTGATCCCATTGAAATGCAAAGTAGTTTTGTTAGGTATATAGAGGCAACAGCTTTCACCAATGTTTGAAGATGAACCATGTAAAGTAGTTAACGATTTAATATTTGTGTGTAATCCGTCGCATAGTTGCCGTTATAAATTTGATGAACAGGATTCCCAATCGTCTATTAAAAACCGAACTGACACATGTGAGTTTGGTTCATCTATCATCGCTGCAACGTCATTTGTAGAGTGAAAAGGTTATTATTATTTTACCAGTAGAACACTAACCCAGTACAATATGGGATACGTCACAGGTAAGGTGTACAATGTTACCATACAAGGTTTTCTTGTATGCCTGTAATATCCTACCTTATCTGAACTACAGGTGCTTGACGACTGTATGTTGCATCATTCCTGTCTGTGATATTTTTCGCATTTGGTAACAAGGCTATATAAGTCATACTGAAGTATAACAGCTGTTTCGAAGTTCTGGTGATAACTTAATCGACAGAGTTATCTTATGAAACTAGTCTGGGCGGTCTAGAGTGGTTTTATCTTCATTTTAGTGTCAAGCCCATTTTACTAGTACTGGACAGTTCGAAGATGCAGTTAGTTCATGACGGTGGTGACGTGATGTAAAGCTTGCTTGTTCCTCGTATATATCGTGTAGTGTATTTGGGAGGATTGAATGATATCACGTTATTTAATGTCCTTAAATCCCATCAAATACGGTTCAGGATAATCAATTCGCAAGTGAATGACAAATTGCATGATCCACTTTGAAATTACACTCAGTTAAGAAGTTTTTCAACTACCCAACTCGTGTCAACAAGGTATCTTTTGGAAAACACACCAAGATCACATGGTTTGCTTTCCGACACAAAAGTGTCATGAATTATCGAACTATACTACTGATCAAAAAGAGTAGTTAGCAAGCGTTCACGCTGATCTTTAGATTTCGATCGACAGGTCTGAGGGCCTAAACACTGGATGGCCACTTTACTCGTTTGAGGGCAAACCCATCGGTTGTGTACCTGGAAGAATTAAGCTCACAGGGGATTTTATTGCCACCACAGTATCGCAGTTGTGAGGTTCGTGGACGTTGAACATGTAACTTGTACATCACCTCCAAATTGGTCATCCTATTTTCAGGTATTCCAGTTCATCAAAGTTAGCTAACTCAACTCATCTATTTAGTAGTATGTCTGAAATGTATTGGTTAGCCTACTCAAGTTTAATTTGGGGGTTTATGGGGATTTAGTGATTTTTCAAGTTAGTCTTCATCATGGACTGACATCAGTTGGAAGGAACATTGGAAATCTGTGAGCACTGGACGGCAGTGCGCATTAATGATCCCACCACGGGTCGAACTCAGGACCCTCAGGTTACGTGATCAGCACGTTTACCTTCGAGTCACTGGATCGGATTGGTGACTAGCTTCGAGAGGTGATTCCTGAAGTTCCAATGAGAAGTCGTGACCGGTGGGGTAAAGCTGGTGTCCGATAGGACTAATACTTAATGGCTACATTGGGTGATGGCCGCGCTATGTCATGAACTGACAAAAGTTGGAAATGTGGACCAGTGAATTCTGACGGAGTGGCTCAATGGTATCGTGCTGGCCACGGAACCCGGACGTGGGTTAGACTCCTGTCTGGGCGTGGTCACGGGTGCGCACTGCTGAGGAGTTCATACCTGTGGCATGAAATGGCTGTCCAGCGCTCCCAGGTTTCCAATATCCCCCCCAACTGATGTCAGTTCATGATGAATACCAACTTCAAAAAAACTGCTCCAGTTTATTTCTTCATTCTGGATAAGGAAACTTGGCAACTGTAGTAGTATGTAACTCCATATCAAATAAATAAATCTAGTACGTAAAAGGAAACATAACATGTGGTATGGTTCGATTTTGCTTAGTGTTGTCCTCATCAAGACTCTACCTTCATTCTGTTATTACTATTACTTTATATAATTTCTCATTTAAACGTTTTTCAGCCTATCATTTAATAAGTGTTATTCAAGCTCATCGTGCAATTTAATTTCATAATACATTTTGAACAGATGTTAGTTGGCTGGAAACAATCGACAAAAAGCTATAGACCTAGGTTTTGTGCTTGTTTGCACTCGTCAGCAAGT